TTGTGGATGCCAGACCAATAGCTATATTGGTTAACGGTTCGAATTTGTAAGGATATAATTCTTTGGCAACTTTGTAAATCGACCGTATGCTATCACATGGTTCATCCCAGAATCTAGCTGCGCATTCTGGAAACTTGACTATGGTAGCCAAGGCATCAAAAATACCATTTAAAGCACTTAATCGATCTTCATCGACAAAGACACACATTAAAGACAGAAGATTATAAACGCTGCTTCGCACAACTTCAGCATAATGGGTCTCTTCTTGAAACATTTCGCAATTTATCATATCTCGCAGATACTGGAATACGTCAAGTTGTATGGCTTTGATGCCAAATGGTCTGAAACGATTCAACATGTCTAAGTTGTCCGGATCAATCGAATAATTTGCTAGCATCCATGACAAAAGTAACGGTCCATCTTGTGGTGAACTTTCACGAACACATTTGTGCTCAAAGATTTCTTGCATATTGCTTCTGACACCGTTTATCCAGTCTTCTATGCCAGTACTAAAAAAGAGACACAATGACAAAATTAAACGTGTGTACAAATGAAATTATTACAATACAAATTTTAATTATGCAAAGTAACTGTATAAACTTACTGCTTATCTATATCCAGTGTTACAAGTAATAATGCTATTTGACTGTACTGTATTTCTTCAATCTTTTTAGTGACAGCTTCCTTGTCTTCGTGGCTTTTTGTACTGACTAATCTTCTAGGTTCACCCTAAAAAATGTTCACTATTTGAGCAAAATTTCCAACTAAGGTCTGAGAATATAAAAGACTTTTAAGTATGAATCTTACCCCAATACTACCATAAAACTTGGCAAATTCGCAACTAGGAATATGTATATCATGTACAATCACAGTCAATATATGAAGCAGCTCGCGCATTTCAATTAAAGTACTATTATATAATCGATGTAAATGATCTTCCGTGCAGAACTGCGACCGTGTAGGAGGATTGACAAACTTCAACGCTTCTATTTGTTTTCGTATAGATTCAAGTAAGTTACCCATCAGAATCTCATTAAAAAAGTTGACAAATTCTTTGTGATGAGGATGTCTTTCGTTATCTTTATACTCCATCATAAGTTTAAGGCATTTTATCAAGGTCACTCTCTCGGAGTAATAAAAATTCCAAATATCATCGATTAATGCTCTTATAGACGTAAGATCGGAGAGCTGTGACGCAAAAGTCTCTGCGCAATTTCTGTATTCGTAGGACACAAAATTACACACTAGATCCCAGGTAATTGTGGCATCCAAATTCTTGCAAAAATTAAAAACATGATACAGATGTTAATATTAAGTTGCAATAAATATCTTATAAAACAATTGGCAAATGTAAAACAATATACTTACAAGGAGTGGAGCAAGTTTACTAATCAAATCGTACATTTGCTGTAGAGGGGGTGGATCTCTTTTAGAAATGCTTTGCAATGATACATCTGTATATGGCTTAAAAAACTGAAGCCCTTCTTTAAGTAAGACAGTGGCATTCTTTATTTCTTCTTCGACAGTTTCTTTAGCGCAACAACATGTCGTACCAGATATGATAGACCACAAATCCTTGCTGCAACTGTAAATTATTATTACTTAATTATTATTTCTTTTATATAGTCCCAATAGACAGATCAATAAGACCATTTACGATCGTGCAAGAAAAACGATATTAGCAAAATATTGATATAAAATTGATAGACATTTTTATTCCTTCCAAAATAAGATTAATCCCATTTCGATCAAATAAAATCACGTGAGATATAAAAATAATATACATATATGTGTACTTACGGCAAGTTGCCCATTGGAGCTACTTCCATAGTGAAAGTTTTATCGTTTTATCACCGTATTCGTGTCAAAAAATTTCTACTCTTTGCACAAGCGAACAAATAAAGTCACGTATGGTTGTAAGAAAATATTTCGTATTTTACAATCTTAATTGCTTGTCTTTAACGCACATAAACATTACGGTGTCTCACATAACCTCAATTCTGATGTTGGCGGGCGATATTCACCGCGGCACCGCGGTAAACACATGTAAACACATGTGACTGTGAGCGGTGCCGTTTTATTTTGCACATGCGCGTTGAAAACAATTCGAGTAAGTAATAAAATACGAAAGTTGAGAGATGGTCTAAGCACTCTGCGTTTATACAGTTTCTAAAATGGACCGAAAATGAATAAAATGTGTTTTTTTTTTTCTAATTTACGAAAAGGTCTAGTCCGTTTTTTTTCTAATTATTTAAATTTATATTAAAGTTGCTTATTTATGAAATGACTCCGAAATGCCGTATGTGTATAAAACGGCATTGCTACAACATCGTGTCGCTTTGTTTCACGTGTCAACGCATGCACGAAAAAAGCGAGCCAGCAAAACTGCTTGCGACAGTCGCTTTAATAAAATGTTCTCCAGTATAGCGTTGATAGCGTTAATTAGTTAATTAGAACGCTGGGTGTATTTCGCAATTTTTCATATGATATACCGACTGAGAATCGATCTTCGGAGCAATATGAATCAGGCAAGAACGAAATAACGCGATACTTCGCGCAAAGATGTCGCCACCAAACGGATCTTCCGCACTGCAAGTTTTTCCGAAATTTGAATTCAGTCCATTCGCGCCGCGACAGAAGGTAGTGAAAGTCGTATCCGTGATGATCGTGATCGTGAGCTGATTAATTGATCTGTTTGTCTAACGAGGTAAGTCCAGTTTTGCCATCCGCAATCGCGTTATTACTCGAGTAATTTACTTGTACTCGACCAATTCCGGTCTACCGTTAACACGACGAGCGAGTGTAATTGCGGTATGAGGTATGAATATTCGGGAGCGTTTCGCGTTTTTGACCTCGCCATGTTGTCTCGGAGCTCTCGGAGTAACGAGACGAAAAGTGAGATCACGAATCTGCGAAAATTGCCGACGAAATGGCCAAAACTATACGATTCTGCGGTATTAATCGTCCCGTGGAATAATGAGCGATATTGGAAATTACGATTAATTATGCGTTATTAACGTTGTTTAAACAGCGAACTGTCCATGCTTGATAATCCGCGAATATCACGTATATCGCTTTCGAGCGAAGTGGTGTGATGGCTCGAAGGAGCTTTGCATTACGGGCGGAGGAAGTTACTCGGGGGATGAGAATAAAGATTTGAAGGATATTACGAGCGAATTAGCCTTTATCTTGATAGAGCACTTTTTCTTCCGCGGCGTTGTGCTTCCTCCGCCATTAATATTCTTCAAGATACGCGGGAATGGAACTCGGTAGTGGAGAAACATGCTGTATATATCATTTCGGGCAACACGAAACTTCGTGAGAGCGATTATTCTTGCCTGCTTGAGAATTCCGTTTTGCATTACTTCACGAAATAACATGACGTTCGAGTGACTGAGCGGCAACGTATATTTTTTTTTTTACAAACCGCTGCATTTTCTATTATTTATACATATATATCATATTATACATATATCTATATAACATTGTATATTATATTGTATATCGTTAAAAAAAACCTCTTGAAATATCGGTTAAGATCGATACGCTATCAAAGCGACGAAATTATACAGATATTTTTTCACGCTTTAAAAATCAGTTCAAATTAGAAGGGACGTGCTTCTTTTGCGTAATTCGCTGGTAAGATTAATAGTCGTGGAGCGTCCTACTTCTTGGCATTATATTTTAACGATAAACACTCCGGCCATCTTGAAATTAGTTTTCTCTCCGCTGGAGGAGTTAACGAAGCCGGATATTAGATTCGGGAATAAATTTCATAATGAAAATCGCGCGGATCAAATAAATAGCGATTGAGGCTACACTCGATATCGGTAATTAGCGGTCGGAATTTTGTTTCGCGTCACACGGTCCGCACGGTTATTTTGAAGAAGGTCTCTCGATGATCAATAGTCATTCTATCTTGCAGGCATTAAGGAATAAGGAGCGAGTTACGGCGCATAACACGTGCTGGAGAAAAATCGTTCGCGAGAGCGCCAGGTGAAGAGGGCGAACGCCACTGCTACCGAGCTCAGTCGCGGACATTTATCACACTTATAGGATCCGCGACTCGGCCAGAAGAACGTTGACGGCCGGTCTTGTCCACGGGTCCACGGGATATTGCCACGGAGTGATGCTGGGTGACGCTTAATGTAAGTACACCGTGTTTTGCTTCCTCCTTTTCTTGGGCGACAATCACTGGTAATGTTCACGTAATATTCACGCTGCTAATAATATACATGTGTAATTGTATTCATATTGTTATTATTGTTATTTATACCATTACATTGCATTATCGTAATAATGTAAATGTTTATATGTATATAATTTTTACTTCTTTGTTCGATATATCACTAAATTGTCAGACAGTTTTCAACTTATAATTAGTGCACGTTGAACAAATTGTATACAATGAATATTGTAGTAGACTACAATTTTCAGATACAACTTTGATGCTCTATTATTTAAATTGTTATGGCATGTGATTCTTGACAATAAAACGTTACATGTATCGTTAAAAAAACTATTAATATTTATATAAAGCGGTTGGTGATTTCGCGCGTGCTATTAGTTATCGCGCTATTGTTGCACTGTTCCGAGTTAATATAACGGACGATATCGGGTATAGCGTAACGGCCCGGCAAATAAATCCCCGCGCAGCGTTGCGTTAATTAACTCTTTACAGCGCCGTCAATTAAAAATCATAAACTGAATACGCGACGTGGCGAACGGGGGAGAGTTCACCCGCGGGTAAGAGGCGGCAGTGGTCGCGTGTCAGGGCGCCGACGCGGGTCGCGCATCGCGACGCCGGGCGCCGCGCCGGGCGCCCGCGCCGCTTCGGAGGACGGTGGACGGAGACGCTGTTCGTCGCCGCGGCCAGTGTACGTTCGTCTTGAACGCGGAACGCTTCGCGCACTCTTATTCGTAGCTTTCCCTGCCGAGTGATTCGATTCCCTCTTATCGGGCGATACCGTGTGCACGATGTCGGCACGACGTGCGTGACGAGGGAGGGAAGCGAGGCAGAAGATCGCGTCGCGATTACTATGCAAGCCGTCGAAGCGAAAGTTTGCGCAGATCGATCGAACGCTTCGGCTTTTCCTTCCGCTCTTCGATGCCGGCGATAACTTTTATCCTTTTTCCTTTCCCTTGACATCGCTCGGTTAAATTACACGCTAACGTGCCCCCGATCGTCCCGATCTTGTGCCGTTTTTAACCGCATTTAGCGCGCGTTTCTGCGAATATATTGGACACAAATTCGCTCCAACGAACGATTCGTCGGGCAACCGACAATATGTTGGTTGTATGAGCGTTCGATCTATAATGCAATTCTGTAACAGGTGATGCGCTGTCTCTTTATAAGTGCGGTAGAGCTTGTTCGCGACTCGTGTTTATACGTGTCAGCGATTTGACGCGAATCTGCTCCATGCGCGACGAACGAGCGGATGCCACTCTAACGATTCGGGTTCGATTCTCGAAAGTGCTCAAAGGAATTTTTGACCGGGTCTAACGGGACAACGACGTTCTTTTGACGTATAGCTTTATGATATCTCCATCCCTCGCACTTGTTGCTAATTCACTTTCTTGAATCCTTAATCGAAAGGGAAGATTTTCTGATGTCTTTTACAATTGGATGCGAGACACGTTGTACCCATTTGACAAACAATCTTGTGAATTTCGATCGTACTCGCGTATAATTTTATATCGCGATTCTTTTCTTTTATAGTCGACATTTTATCGAGAGACACGCGAGAGGTTTGCGTTCTCTGTGCGCATTTATGTAATTTAGGCCGAAAGTGTCAATATTTTCAAGCTTTTATCACAGTGATGCTACCACATCGCGACTGTACACGGCAATGCGGATATTCGGCGCAACTCCGAGCTAGGATGCATGTGCCTGTGTAATTTGAATCCGCCGCAAGTTCGGTTGTCGGTGCTCGACAACCTTTTGATGTGTCTCACTTAATAGTGTGCTTTCACGGTGTGCAATCGCGAATAAACTATTCTCTGTTCAGGATTGATATATGCAGTTTCTATTACAGTATGCAGTCCTTGAGCGAACTATTCTCTGTCTAAAAATTTGGTATAGATCGGATAGTTTCCGTCATTTTCGTCATCGAAAATAGTCTGATGCAGTTGTGTATCTTTTGAAATATATAAGGGTAATTTTATTTCCTATATCGAAGTTGCGCCATCTATAATGAAGAATATCTGCAATATTTTGTTTGAATATGTAATGTATTTTTTACTGGATATTAATGTCATTAATGTATCTAGTTGAAAACGATTCTTTATTAATACCAGGTATACTTATTTCCATACATTTTATTTATATAAAATTCAACAAAGTTCTTGTCAAGCTGTGAGAAGGAAAAATTATCTGGGAAATATCCGATTTTATAGTATCTAGGGCAGAACCCCTGTCCCAGATTTTAACAATTAGGAGATTTAATTATTTAATTTTTATTTACTTTACACTTTTGAAGCAAACGCATGTGTGTATTCGAATGTTTTATTTTTCCTTCGAATCAGTTTTCAAACGTTATCGTAAAATGTTTGTTTTTGAAACAAGAGATACGCAATTCCGAATAAATTTCCTTTGTCTAATGTGATACTGTTAAGCAATTTGCTGCAAAATTTCCGATACCTCAAAAATTTCCTCAAATATGTTTTATTATTTCTATCTCTCGTTTACGATTAATCTTCCTAGAATCCTGAATCCTTATCATTAGCGGAGATTTTCGGCGAGATATCGGTATTATCGTAATACCACCGTATGCGAAATATCACGTTATTCTTTTCATCTCGACGTGATTTTTCTCGATAAAATGGGTGAACGCGGTATTCCAGAGAACTGTGAGCGGTAAAATGTAGATCGACGCATTTTTCTTTACGTTCCCCGGACATTATTCAGCAGGCATCGCATCTCGTGACTGCTCTTCTCTCCTGATGAACAACTCCTTATCATATATATACAGAGAGAGAAAGAAAGAGGACCCGTGATCGTGCGCGTGTGACAAATCGAGGATCGAACGCGTCGTGGCGTGAAACGTTTCGGGATGAACTAGCGCGCAATGGACATCCTCGTGTTCATTTCGTAATTGGTGTCGGGGAGATACAAGATAGGAGAATAGAGAGGGACATCAGGAGAATCGACGACGGGGCGGCCGTCGAGATCGAGAGGGACGAGAGCAAAATGAGGGCCCCGTTGCTCCTCTTAGGCGGCATTGTTGTACTGTCGCTCGCGGTGGCGAGGGCTCTCTCGTGTGTGTGCTCGCCGCTGGAGTGCGACGTTCTCACCGACGAGGACTGTCCCGGAGGCCTCACCTGGGACCCCTGCAGGTAGGCGACGCGCGACGTTTACCCTTACCGCGGCGCGGCGCGCTCAGAGAGATCTCCAAAGCGGCAGAGCTTTACCTCGATACCGGAATACCAACGAGTTGGAATGTGGCTGTTTGCGCATTTCCTATCCCCTCGGTTAGGAAGACTTTACTCTCGAGATATCAGGTTTATTATTTTTACTTGATTTTTTTTCTGTCGGGCGATTGTATACAGAAGGTTCAACTATTCGCAATATACGGAAAAACAGGGAACGTGGAAAATTTGTGTCACGAAAGGTATTTTAATAAACTTCGATAATGGAAAAGGAGAAAAAAATATGGAGGATTTTATTATGTAAATGCATTATATCCTCGGCACGTCACATACGATATTTGCATACTAATTGCTATTATGTCTTCTCAACTGTAAAGATGCTATACTGGGCAAAAGCATAATTTTCAATTTGAAACTCTCTAGAGTCGGACTCTTTGTGTTCCGTTGTAACAATTGTGTTCTACTACGCGTTGTAATTAGTTCCGAGTACAGCGAGCAATTAAAACGCGCGCTACAATAAGGCCCGCTGCCTGCGTTTTTTTTTCTCTCCAGGCAGCGAGAAAACGCCGTCCTTTGTCGTTCATCCACCTTTGTTTCCGCTCCTCATACGCGAATTGCGTTTTCGCGTTAGCAACTCATTTGTGGAGAACAGCGAGAATGGTGTTATACCTATAAAGGTAATTAAACCGCACGGATCAAGGAAGGCTCGCATGCGCTAAGGATGGCGCAGCCTCGAAATGTTATACGAGAGCGTTTATCATCGACGTGTTCGATATCCATGTGGCCGACACGCGAGATCCATGCCCTTGGGTCTATTTTCACCCACCCACGCACACAGAGCATTGTTACGCCATTGTATGTACATATACACACCGGGTATTATACACCATATATATTCGAACGCGGAGGTGGGGTATGCACCTGAGTTTTAGGTGCGCGCTCGGCGCTTGTATTTTATGGCCCCTACAAACAACCTGATGCAGAACAGGTCTGAGCTAGTAAATATGGGGAACGTTAAGAATAATGTATAATGAAGTTAATAAGTACCTACTATGTAAGAGTTTTGAAAAATTCTGCAATTTGAGAAAATAACTTATATTAACATTATACTATTATAATTATCATTGCACGCTAAAGCTTTACTTTGTCGTAATTTACATTTATTCGATGAATTATATTCGCGTTTGCGACGAAATAATGCTACCATCAATTATTAGTAAAATAAAAGCCGCATTATTTAGTGCAAGTATAAATAAAATACAACGTATCGCAATATACAATCATTTTGCTTTATAAAACGTGTTGCAAACCACAATCTTGCGTGTATTGCTGCCTTTTTGGTATAAGAGCGAATATACAGGTTACACATCCCCTTTAACAAATATTTGCGAGGAAAGTACCAAGATAAATTCCACTTTGCACGAGCGCGTATGAAGCACGATCGATGGCAGGTTCATGTAAGTCTGCGATAACGACGCACTACAAAATCAGATTGATACGCGTGTCAATGCGTGGGTGGTCTAGAACAAGTATTTATACATATAGGACAAGCGGGAAAAAAACAGTCTACTACTAACGCGAGCGTTCGCAAGATTAACTCATTTGCTGCGCGAAATAATGTTAAAGGATGTTACAAGAGCAACGTATGTGTGAACTAGATTTTTTTCTTCGTAATAATTGTATACGAGATGAATATCGTACGTGTGCCGTATATACACACTCGGAAAGGTTAAATTCTTTTGAATACTTAACTTACGTGTACCAAAGCTTTAACGCTGCAAAGGATTCGTATCGTAAAAGCGATAATCTTTATACAAAGATATCCACATGTAGGTCAATCTTGATTAGATATCTCTATTAGATATATGCGGATATATGCTTGCGAGACAAGTTGGATGACTCACAGCAATTTCAGCCACTTTAGCCCAGGTACATTACACAATACGCAATTAGAAAGCCTTTCATCTATTCTATATTCACGAGTAGAGGGCGGATAAGACGGCTTTTCAAACCGCAGCTTTTCTCACAGCTACTCGAAGCGTTAGAAATGTGCGGTTGAGATTGAGATTTCTCCTCTTTCTTTTTTCTTCTGGCTCTTTACGATCGAGAAAGTTACTCGTAAGATGAACAATTTCAGCGTAATTGCTTTTCAAGTGCGAGACAAAGATTGATGCTTGCGCGAGAATCGAATAAGAATCGCGCCGGATCGAGAACTGTGGATTGAGATCGAGCTGTGATTTATGCGTTAGATTAAATCTTCGAATAGGAGATGCGAATATGAATTTCGCTGGAGAGAATATAGGTGGATATTCATATCATTGGTAAATCCTTAACGTCTTTATGAAACGTTTTACTCGTATACTTTACGATACTTGGATCGCAAAGACGGATTCTTTACGAAATTCATACAGGATCTCGGTAAATCTTTCTTACGCAATTCAAAAGCTTATCCACAAAGCATTTTGCTTCTCAACCACCCTCCGTACTCTGATCTTATTTCACTCTGCGTATTTCCTTGATATTTCAGCATGTGCACGATAATACAGTCGCGCGCGTCGATACGTACAATATGCTGATTCGAGGGACGCCGGAATTGAATTTCAAAGGAAGCGAAGCACACGCGTGCGCAGAAATAGAGAAAGAATTTTTCAGAGTGGTCTTGGACAGTTATACCATCTTTCCCGAAGGACCTTTGCGAATTCAATAGGTGTACCTAACGTTTATTGCGCTGTGGAATTTCTGGAAGTTCTTACGAGAGTCTCGGCGATTTAGAAGGATAGGCGAGAGACCGTTACGACGATGGCGACGACAGCCATTGGAACGTTCGATGCGATACCGAAAGATAGCCGAGTGGTCTCAATGACGACGAGGTAGTTCGAAAAGAGGAAAGTTTTATGCGTCGAATTCTACCTACGGCAAGAGTATCGTTTTATGTAAATTTCCCGAGAGTCGAGACGTATCGACACGGGCAACAGGCAGTAGGTACCGCGGGTCATATCGGTGACATGCTGGTGAATTGTTATTTAAAGACCAGTATCGGTATTATACGTTATTTTTTTTACGTGCCCCATACGTCCGTAAAAAATATATACTCTAACATTATTTCATTTGTACGCGATGTCTCAGTACTGCGATACGGGAGGAGATACGTATAATTTCACGAATGTAACTACTATACGTATAATACGATAGAGCTGTCCGCGCGTAATGTATATTTCGATGAAATTTCTCCTGTTTCTCGTAAACATCCAAACGGTATAACATTAAACACCGGTCTCAAATTGTTTGGAATCTGAATCTCGTACCGTTGTCTCGATTACGACTTCTCCCGGTTCAACGATCGGGTATCGCGAATCAGGTATTCGCAGATCTCGAATGCAACCTCATCGTTTCATATTGAAAAAAAATCACAGTCACAGATCGTTATATATTGCTGTAGATATTTTCACTCTCCCATCATACAGGAAAAACCGATCGCATTTTTTACTCTAAGTAAATCGAATAATACAATATTTTTCAAATATAACGATTTCTTTTTGATGCACTTTACAAAGTCTATTTTGAAGAGCTACATCGTCTCGTTGAAGTTATTCCGAGCGTGGTTATTTATTTTTGGTTACATTCGAACAATCCTTGTTTTTTAAATCAGAGATATTGTGATTAAATTTCAAATTCATGATAAGTAAAAGTACTTTCGCTTTTCATCTTTTTAATTCAAAAGGAATTAAATTTTTTAGTTGTTAAAAAAGCTGACGATATTTTGTGATGTTTCGCAGACTCGCATTTGTTTCCGCGACTATGGTAATTGTGTTTTCTTATCAGCCAATGCGATTGGATTTGAAACTCATGTTCGGTAAAAATTGGCAAACATACGGTTACAAATTCTTCCACGAAATAATGATGGTACACAAAAGGAACTCGGAATGAAACTCCATGTTCAACGGCGTATTGGGAATCTATCAGAGAATATTTAGCATGCAACGCTATTGTTGGCCATAGCAGTTGATATGCGCATTAGCAATTGTCAAACGGAATAATTTAAATTTTTTTTGCCGCGTAAAAATATATATATCAGTGCATCATTAACTATACAGGGTTCATTATTCTTTTTTCAGGATTATTTTGACCATTCTAAAAGTGATTACATATTAATTAAGGCAAGTAATGTGAGACATATTTATGGCGCACTTTTAAACATGACAAAAACGCTATTGACATTATTTAAATCACTTTTAAAGCAAAATGTATAGAAATAGAAAAATATAGATACGTAGAGATAGCTTAAAAATCTAAAATTTAATAATTTTGCAATAATTGTGCAGGTATGATGGCATTAATACAATTACAACATCGCTAATTATTTGAAGTTAACAATGTATGCTTGCATTTCATCGTATATCAATTTTTAGTCTTCGTTATATGTTACCTTCTTCCCCATGAGCTACGTTCTTGCGTTCTTTCTTATTATCTTATAAGAATGTGCAGGACTGAAAGCTATATGTATAGTATAAGAAGTAGATTGTTTCACGGGAAGCGGCAAGGAACATAGATGGAGGAGAAGACACCCTCGTCTTCACTACCGCTGCTGAGACGGCGTAATAAAATTCCTGGTTGCAGTTGACAATTTTCCGCGAGATTATTTTCCGTGCGGTGCGCCGCAGGCTGCGCCTTAAAATTCCTCCCATTCTTTTTTCCCTCAGAACTTTGTAAGACTATGCTATGTGCTGCTGAGCGTGCCGCGCGCGAAAAGTGATATGCACTTGCATAATACGTAGAAGCTTCTCAATTTCTTACATCTTGATTCAAGACAAGTTTCTTCAAAATAAAAATGCAAATGTCATCGCACCTGCGCGAAAATTTACACGTCGGATCGTAAATCTCACAATCTTGTAGCAATACGATTCCTTAAAAAGCTATATAAACGACTCATCGATAATTACAAGTATTGTAACAATTGTCGATTGTTACAAATATTATAATTATAGATATATTTTTCTACACGTTTTCATATGTATACGTATATTCTGATGAAATTTGAAACGCATTTGAAATGTTAAAACGCCAAATCTGGCGGTATATACGAGCCAAATTTGCTATTTTTTTAACGTAAAATGTTGAAATTGTTATAAAAAATTTATTCAAGATCTAGTTCGTTTTCATACATTCACCTATGTTTCAGAAATTTTTCGCTAAGCTGCTACTCGAAACTTTTATTTCCTAACAAATATAATAATAGGCTTATACCATTTCGAAACTAATGGCTCACGTCATTATCCTAAGCCGCTTTTAAAAAGAGGCACAGACAACTGTATCCTTTCGTTTTGCAAGTTTAAGAAAGATATGAAGCTGTTATAAAGAGCGCTTTATATCTTTAAAACGTTTGTTAAGTCCCTTTGTCGCCCGCAGGATTTCTTACAAGAAAACAAATGGCCGTACATTCGAATCGAAGTAAACTGGTTAACTGCGATGCGCACGTAACTGCCGCTTATTCGTTTCGTCTATCCTTTTATATGTTGGCAACAATTTTCCATTATTCGTTTTTCGTCGATAAAAAAAAAAGAGAAATAAACTGATCCTCAGTGATTCTGAGGCCAAGCATTCCGAGAGCTGAATATATTTCCGATACACGTTACTAGCGAACAACAATAGCAGCGAGAGCTAATAATACCATTCGTTTGTATCACGTATAGAAACTAACTTTTCTCGTTTCTGTTTACGTATACAAAATTTGTATAGCGGCAAAAATTAATTAAATATCTTCTTTTTACATTATTCTCTCATTCTAATATCTCGAACACGAAAGATGAACGTATGAAACATCGGGTATAGGAATAATTTTATTACCACGCAAAAATGCATGTGACACGTAGGTGGTCTAATTATAACTTTCCGCTCGAGTTATTTTATAAGCTTGAAGTTGCCTGTCGCGCGTAAACTGACTTGATTTGTGTATCGAGCGTGTTCCGACAGCTATAATCCCCCCCCCCTGTATACATATATAAAATGATTGACCGAGTTTTATGTGTTTGCAGGTGTTGCAAAGTATGTGCGCGTGTGGAAGGCGAGCCTTGCGGCGGCCTCTTCGGTTTTTCGGGAACCTGCGCCGTCGGTCTGCAATGCGTAATCATGAATCTGCTAACTCGCACCCGAGAAATGGACGAGGGCGTTTGCACAAGTGAGTATTCACGAGAGAACTTTTATTTAAATAAATATTTTTGGACAATAGAGAGATTTCTAACATAAATATCAAATGTAATTACTTATTTCGGAACGAGTGCGTCTCAAATTCCTCACGATACAATTACAATGCCAATAGAAATGCTAATAAAAACATCCTCGATGTGATATCGTCCCTTCGTTGCAATTGGATAAACTGGCAGCGAAATATAATATCAATCGCCAGAAATAAATTTTTATTAGAGATTTTTTACTTTTAAATTATTATTCACACTAAAACAAAAAGCTGACGTTTGCAATTTTTATTTTTATTTTTATTTTCAAAGTTTTTTGTTAAATTTCAAGCAAGTTTTAAATATCAATGTCCGTACGATTTAAAATATTTATTTTTCTAGTGGTATAATATATGTGTTAGTTTTATTATAACCCTGGGGGACAACGAGGATTACTCGTGTGTATATTTTTCAGCGTGTATGTTCGCGATAAATGTACAGAAATAATATTATGATTGTTTTGTCGCGAGTAGAATGTAATGTCGCCCGCATTTAATAAGCGCAAAATCGACAATAAATCTCTGTGTAAAAGGTTTCTGAGTACGTATGCGTTGATACGATTATATCGCGTATGTTTCATCATCCTTTCGGTTTATACTCTATCGTGATGCTATGCGGTATTCATGAAGATGAAATTGAATAGCTCGATACGAGATATACTAATCATGGGTTACGAACGATGATTTTACAGTTACTATTTCACGATTTTAAGCCGTATAATAATAGTACTATGATATACTATAGTGGAAACGATATTAGTGGATACCTTGTTTTATATTTAGTAATATATAGATTTATATATTGAAATCCGCGTGATATATTGTCTTGGAGTTTTCTTCTTTCATAATATATGATAGTTATTTTTACTTGGAGCGCGTACGCGCATATCCATTTTATCTTTTCCAATACGCGACAAGGTCAGATAAAACAATCGAGGCCGTTAGCTATATGGAGCGACATAATGATTAAATCAATAGTTATTATCAATTTTCTAAACAATTAGAAAATGCACAATACTTGTTTAATATAATCGTTATAGTTTCCACAGCTGATGCTAGTAATATCAATCCAAAGCGAGTTCTAAACTGAAATTTCGTGCTGTTAATATTCCGCGGGATGTTTATATAAACCATGCTTATAATTTATATTAAATAGCAGTTGTATGAGAGTAATATTCCGTATGGTGTATTAGACAACGTGGTAGATATTTCTATTTTTAAACCTGGACATACTAAAGCACTTTAAATCGATGATGTCGTTTTTATTCGAGCAACTTCTACCGTTTGCTCGAACGAAAAAAATGTTAAAGCGGTCGAGGTCACGGAGAAAAAGATCGTGTCGTTGCAGTTTCTGAAACTTGGATAGGGTTCTCCAAATGGAAAAGTTAGTTTAGGCAAAGTCATGTTTTCGTGAATACATTACTTTTCACTTAGAAATTTTCTACTGCACCTTGCATGTGTCAAGTATTGACTCCATTCCCCTATAGGGCCTATCGTATCTATGAGCCAAAATATCCAAAAATACTAGTTTATTGTTGATACAAGCATATTTGAATTTGTGCGACACGCGTGTGAGTCATATAAGATAATTTCAGTTTTTCTGGAGACATTAACTTAAAACTACTATAAAATTACAATAAAAATATGTACTATTTTTAACAGTTAGATTACAACATCTTGAAGTTTGCGATTAAAGTAAATTTGGTTGTAATTCTTTGTTAAATTTTTTCTTTTTATGATCTTTATTGTTACCTGCAAATAGTGACAAGTTCTACAATAATTTTCCTTTCTGCGTTTACGTCGAACGGAAAAAATCGAAACTACACGAATAATCTTAATGCAAATCTCATCGTAGTAATATCAAATTGAAATCATTATAATATCTACACATCATCATATTTCTTTCTTACAATTTCAAAATTGATGGAATCATGTAGTTCGATTCATGCACTGTTACTAATTATTATAGTGGAAAGAGTGAAAAAATTTAAAAGTAAAAACTATAATTTTGTTTGTAAAACCTTGCACAATTATTTATTTATACGTGTTCTGAAGGATAGATTAATGATAATCTTGAAATTTTCTGCATACTTCTTGAAGTTGCTCTTGCTACAATTTTAAAAATTTTTTATATAGAACTCCTGGTTCTCTTATATTAAATGTGGGCGTAAGCAGAACAATGTTTAACGATTCCTTGATCTGATTTGCGTGAATTCGATAATTACTCTGAAAAAGGATGCTTGCATGCTTTCATTTTCCAATTCATTGAATAATTGAATCACAGCTGCGCATTTTTCAGGCATTCAGTTTCACCGTGAGTCCGCGTATTTCCTCTTTTTCCTCATCTTTTCCATCGGCTCGATGTCCTTTGGCCTCTTTGAAAGTTCTTAACGCTTTGAACACAGAATCGTGTTGGTGAATCTAGAAGTGAACGATCCTGCTCGCGAATCTAATTGAGCGATTTTTGAACTTGTTATAACTCGGATTTTCCAAACTTCCAAGTCAAACGACGATTTTAGAGACTGGAAAAGGAAGTAATTAAGGGCTGCGAAATACTTCTATGAAAAATGTTCTATACTCTCAAAGGCTGAACTTCTCTTCCGTAATAACTTTGTCCTTGTAGAAGAGCTTAATTATTGTAGGAATTGAAATACTAATTGTAAGTGTTCTCACTCGAATTTTACAATTATTTGATTAAATAATTGTGTATGTAAATTAGAATAAACAAATCGCGACAATGTCAATCTCTATGCCAGTACATAATTATAATATATGTAGCAATAATAATAATAACAAGTTTAACAAAATATAATAGCATTATTATAACAAGAACATTAATTATAAGTTATAAATTGAAATTGATGTCGCAAATTTACACAATTATAGCTTGTTTCTGAATAAATTAATATCAATTTTGTTTGTACGTGAGTGCATATGCACGCGCGTGTGTATGTTTCAAAAATGTCTAAACGCGTCTAAATTGTTATAATTCTATATTGCGTATCATGCGATATTCGTGCAACACATTTCTATCCATGCCATTCTGCGACAATTGTGATAATTAGAAACGAGAGGCGACTCAAAAGGGGATACTGATATGTTTACATGAATTTCGGATTTTATTAACAGGCTCGGTAGCGCAAGCGATCGCGTCGAATATGCCGTTGCCCGATGGCGACGTGCCAATTCGGTTGCTCGCAACAATCATACGAATTTTCGCTCCACCAGAATCACATCGGCGATCCTTTAAACCGGCGGGCGACGGAAATACGAAATCGTCAATATTTGACCTGCATTAACAACGAGCGGGCGGCATATCACTTTTGCGTGATGCGCTTTGCGATACCGCGTTGCGCGTGTCCGACTCGATTCGCGCACGCGACACGCATCCAGCCGGAATCCGGAATACGGCAACGTACCTAGATTTAGCCAACGTGGAAACAGGAATGACTGTTTAACGGGGGATTTGACTTGGAAATGTTCACGGCTCGTCTAGATTCCCAAAATTGTTACGCCGCGTTTGCGTTTTAAACGCGTTTTTCCGTCAAATGATGAAGCTTTTGTTCTGCTATCCGTGGAGACGGACGCGAAATAATTTGTTTTGCGGCGTTTACACTTCAATGACGGACCAGACACACGAAAATGGATGCACTTGTTTCGAGAGTGATATATACCTGACATTTATGATACTTCACGTTCAGTATTTGCATCGAGTGCTACAATATATGTCGCAACAAATTAATTATATTTGTTTAATGCCTGCTCCGCTTTGACGTAGCATTGTTATTTGGACGGCTGCCACGTAAAAGGTATCGAAACGTCATTTCAATTTTAATAATTTTGTGTCGGATACATTTTGAGAGAAGCTTCGCGTCATGATTCTGTCGAGCTTATAAAACCTTGGTGATATTATCATAATTATTTTGAATAGAGACGAAATGCATTTTATCCATTATAAGATACATTTATTCTGAAAATAACGGACACGATATATTTATTTATATCAATATTTAAATTTATTTGCTACTGCCTCGTTAAGCGAATTTCGGAAATAATTTAAGGACATAAGTTATAGTTCTGACATTCACTTCCATTATATGGTTGATGCGTAATACTGCGGATGATGTCTCTGTAATACCTGATGGCTGTTCACACAGAATCAGTATTGTAAAATTAGTTGCTGTTCTCTTGTTCTCAAAGCAGATAAACTATCTCTGTTTCATGTGCAGAAAGGCAGTGTAAAGGGTCGCGCTAGTCGCGGAACTCAAACTCGAAACTGTCTTCAACTCGACACTTCCGGTGAACTTTGACACCGGCATTTTGGAACGCTTCAATAATAATACCGCTCTTGTGAATTATCTTCTCATTATAATCTTAAAGCAGACGGTAATTGAGTTAACCCGATTCGATCTCTTCCGTGTGCCTTATACAAGATACTCGGTCGCTTCTTCTTCTCTCTTTTGTTTCTTCGTGGAAAGTTTTCCAATTTATGTTATATTTCAACACCTTACTTCTATTATTAGTTCTGCTTCGCTTTACCGAATGACGGAAAAGATAACAAATTCTCAAGAAAATCTAAATAATTATTAACTTGATAAAGACCTGACCGGACCTTATTGTTTTTATTTGAATTCCATTAAGCTTGTCTATCGTTTTCACGTTAATCATTGAGATCGCGCAGTGAGAGATTCAAGTATTTCAACCGGAAAAGAGAATCATGGATTCTAGCGAAGTCTCTGTTCTTATTTGGTGCCTCTCACGAACAGGACACGCTTTTGCACTCAAATTTTGTGCACGTCGCGAACGCGAGCTGCAGCGACCGTCCGCTTTAAGGACGAACTCGTGTACGTGTCTTTGGAAAATGAAATTGCTTCCGATTTCGCTCTCGCTCCTCGTGATTTCGCGCCGCGGGAATGGATTAGCCGACTTGGGCCTGCCAGTGAGTT